ATTGACCACACTTCCCTAGTATTCAAGTCTCACTTCACAGAAAACTTATCTGGCAAAGGCCTTTCGCAATGTGCTAATGGCCGCTTCCTCCCATCTAGAAAACAGTTCACAGAGAGAGCTTACAAAGAATGTATAGGGACTTTGTTTCTTTGAGCTTGTGCTGAAAGACACAGCTCAAACAGTTCTGAGCTGCCAAATTCCACTTTGGACATGCAAATTTTAAAGTTATGGCTAATGCTTCTGTGTTCACAGTTTTGCAGATTAAAATAATTAGAAGCCCCTTTCTAAATGAATGCAGCAAAAGTCATCAATGCATAATTCAGAGTCCACACTTTTCTTACTGAGCCAATTTTCTTCTGTTGAAAGTGACATTTTATAAATGGACATTTCAAACCAGTTTAGGCCCAGAAGCTAGACTGTAAAACCCAAGCTTTTACAAAGCTGGTTACAACTAGAAAAGTATCATTTCATGTTAACCTTTCAAAGAAAAAAAGGCAGCAATTTTTTAAAATGCGATTTTTCTGCAATGCTTTCTGTCCAAACAATGTAGAGTTCTGTTAACTATATGAGCTCCCTAATTGGAAAGCAGAAAAAGAAAAGGTGAACAGTCTATTTTCATTGAGCAAGGAAAGCAAAATGCAAAATGTGAGTGACAGTAATGGTGAGATATAGGTCAGACTTTTACAACCTTTTTTTTTTTTTTTTTAAATGAATTGGAGTGTTATTAGGAAAAAGAAAGAATGACAGAGAATTTAAACCTGACTATCTCCCCATAATTTAATTTTTTTTAGCCAACACGTTCTTTACATGGTAAAAAATAATGACATTCAAAACAAAAAAAATGGAAAAAAGAGTTACAATCAACAGTCCTGAAAAGACTAAATGTTAGTTTTGACTGCAGCTATGCTGCCATCTTAAACCCTTGTGCTATTATGAAATTAGGATAATTGCAAGCACCTCTGCTCAGAGCACTGTACACCACTATTAGCATCTGGAAAGCATTTACCCCTCATAAGTCCACTATTACGTTTTGCTAATACGTCAAAACTTTCAACCTCAGTTTGAGCACATGCCTTTCTACTTCTTTGGAAATTAGCTCAAACAGAAAACAAGGCTGGCAGCTTTGAATTGTTGCAACAGAGGATACATGCCAGATTTTAACCAGGTACAGAACAGAAGCTGTTGCCCTTGCATTTTAACAATCCATACATGCCCCAGTATATCTGTCCTTCACTTTTAGGATCTGACAACACATTAGCAAGTCATAACTACTAATATTAAGGAAGTCCCTGAAGAATACACATACTTTATTCTTGTTAGCACACCAGCACAACTGCTGCAAAAAGGAAAGAACTATACAAGTACGTAAGAGTAGTATTATTATTTGCAAAACTACCTTTTTTCTATGGTTATATTTTCACCAAGGAGCATGCTATTTACTGGAAATCCATCCAAATAAGCCTTTAACAAGAACCAAAAAGCATTAGCTTGTGAAATGGTGATCTACAAAAGAAGGAAATGGATTTCCAGCCTTTCTGCTCACATGATATATCACGGTGCAGTGGTGGTTAGCCATGTTAGTCTGAAGACAGGCAGAAGGTAGGGCAGGGTGACACATTAAAACCAGTTAGTGTGTAATGTACCACCCTACCCTGCCTTCTGCATGCTATACAACAGCTTGCCTAAAGGTTTTTCCTACTTGAAATATGAATATCAAGTTTTGTCTTCCCTGTTTTTGTTGGCAATCTCCTTAGGACTCTAGAGAAAAATAAGTATTGAACTTCCAAGGCTCTTAAAGGAAGAGGCAGAATGTGAACCTCAACACAGATCTTTTCTCCTAATTGTTTGGTCAGGCACTTGTTTTAAACAAGTATTAACAAAACAAAATCGAACCCCCCCCAACCCCGCCACCACAGATTAACAAGTGAACACTTGTTAAGGGAACACTTCCCTTCTCAGTCGCAGAGACTCCTCTTCACTAGGACTTGTGGCAACACAACCTTACTAGATCTTCATGTTTTCAAGCCTGGGTATGCAAGACTGAATTTCTAGTACAGAGAGAAACATAAAATAGGTTCTCAAAAACAAAGCAAAAAAACAGGAGAGAGAAGCTCTCTCTATAAAAGAAGATAGCTCCCTTATATATAAAAAGGGAGCACTGCCAATCATTTCCTTCCCTGCAGGTCAACTTAAGTGGAAAGCAAGGACCGACTTTCTCGCTCGCTAAAAATAAACAGTATTCTGATGCTCAGGTAGGCTGTCTCCAGAGGACTGGGGAAATACATTTTGCTGCTCTCCTGACTCAACAAAAATCTTAACACCATTTAAAAATATCTCTTGCTAGGTAGACGTCAGCTTAGGTAATAGACACTTCTGACATGTAGTTAGTATCCAAACTGAAAGACATTTTTAAAACAAGTATGTATGCACGTATGTATGTATGTGTAAAATAAGGGTAAATGGATTGATTTATAAGAAAAGTTACCACGCACAGGGAAAGAAAGATGGGGTAAAGATGACATGGTAGGGATGAATAGCAAATGAAGTGACAGGAAAATTTAGGCTGAGCATTATGAAAAAGCTTCTTGGTATCAAAAAGCTTAAGCTATGGAAAAGACAGGGAACCCACATTGCTTGGGACTCTGAAACTAGACTGAACAAGGCTACACTGCAGGAAGAGTCCTGCAATGGCCTACAGGCAGAGCAGCTAATAGAAGCACAGCAAACAAATGAACTACTCCTATTGTTTAATATACGCTCACAGCTACGTCAGCAAGACGACACAGAAGAGTCTGGCATCAGGTATAAGCTCACCTAGTTTGGAGAGACATGCACCTGAAGCACTCCAAATCCTGGAGCACTGCAGATTCAGAGCCCTTTACCCCTCTGCGGGTGTGAGGTCCCATCCCCAGCCCTGGAGCTCTCCAAAACAGCCAGGAAGGCAGGCTGCAGATGGTGCTGCTCTGCCAGGGGGCTGGGGAGTGGGAATCTTCTGCCTCCAAAGCTTCCAGAGGACACTGGAGCGCACAGGTGAGCTCTTCCTGGCCATCTTCCTCTCTCCACCCCTGTTGGGGAGGGTGTGATTGCAAGCAGAGCGCTACCAGATGCTGGAAGACCACCGGAGGTTGTTTTTTCAAGGGTTGATTTTTTAATGGTTCTTTGGCTGTGCACATCTGTACCACCACTGCTGAGAGCACTGCAAACTGGCCTCTGATAACTCTGCTACTCCCATGCCAACCTCGGTAGTTTTGCTACACTAATTAAATAAATCCCTTCTTACATGGTAAAGATAAAATTCCCTGCAGCTAAGGTGCTCCAATTGGAACTTGGCTAAGTGGTCCTGATGGCATAACTTACTCCTGTTATGGGTCTTCTAAAGGCTTTTAATAATGAAATCTTTTAGCAAGATCCTGTCACTCCAGGCACGCATTTCATGCAACAGCCAACAGTGGAGACTTTTGTCATGACAGCTTCGAGGGAGCAGTCTTAACCAACACCTCAGTGCCGTACACCACGTGGGAGGCAGGTAGCAACCAGAACAAGAAGGAAAGGCAGACAAAATAATTAAAATAAAATATTAAGCTGCATTTTGAACTGAAACCGTGAGTTGGCATAAAGAAATAAACATCCCAAGTTACCCTTTCTACCTCAGTCCATATTCCTAAGTAATCCTGAATCCAGCTGTTACTTTTATGAATACCTTGGATGTCTGCAAATGAAACCTAAGCCTTTCTCCCTCAATGATGGGCACCTAAAGTGAACCCTGGTGTTCCTACTCTGTGCTCTATAACCACACGGGAGGAGCTGCTCTTGGGTTCCCAAGTTCAGAAGATGCGGTAACAAATGGGTGCTGCAAAGCAGAGGACAGGCGAGGGCAAAAAACCCTCATGACATGACCCTGTATTAATAGCAGGTCTCTGCACAGTGATGAACAGCAGGGCAGCACACAGCCAGGTGATGCTGGGGGGTAACAGACTGCCTGGCTTGGGGGTGCAGAGGAAAAAAAATCAGGAAGAGAAGAATCTGCACTGGGCCAAAAGGAAAAGGACACATGAAGAAAACAGGGGAGCTAGATCAGGAGGTGCTTAGAGAGAAGCAGCAAAAGCTTCATTTGCCCATAAGCCACTTCCCGTTCTCGTCTGGCAAATGTACCATTGCCCAAGAGGTGCAGCACCATTACTACACGTTCACTTTCTGCAGATGGAAATGCATCCCTGTCCTTAATCTTCTCATTGCTGGGAGTTTATTTTCTGCCTTGTACAGTGCTACATTAGGTGCAGGGCTCTAGGGATTTCTCTCCCCAGACCTCAAAAAAATCCCTCTCTCTCTGAGCAGCATAGGTCATTATTTGAAACATCTGCCGTGCAGGCTTAACGAGTCCGAATCAGCTTCCCAACTGGACCAAGCGCTGGGTCAAGAAATTAAACCTTTAAGCTGCTGACTTGAAGTGCCCCCCCATCCAGGAGCCACGCCGCCTCACCAAACACCTCTGCCCGCCTGAAGCTCTTCCTCCGGCCTCGAGGCCTAGGTGCCAGAAGAGGAGGGGACTGGCAGCACCTCCGCCCTCCGAGCGCGCGGTCCCCACATCCAGCGCCCTGGGCACGGTCCCTGGAGCAGGGCTAATTGCTCCCACTTGTGTCAAGGCGGCCGGGAGGGAGGGGGAAGGGGGACCTGCTTTGCGGCCTAGTGGAAGGAGGTGAATGAAGAGTCGGGGCGTTTCCACAGCCTCCTGCCTGCGACCCGGCATCCACGCCCATCCTGCGGCTCAGCAGATGCCCCCCAGCTGCGCTTCTTCCCCCACGGGACTATCTACACCCCGCTCCTCCGCTGCTCTTTTCCCTAGGCCAGGGGAGGAAGCAGCTGAGACCTGCCCCTGCCCCGGGGAGGGGGTGTGGGAGGCAAACCCCCTCCCCAGGCCGTCTCCTGGCACAGAGGCGGCCGGGAGCGGCGGGATGCAGGAGGCAGCGCGGGGCGGCGGCGCAGGCCCGGGGCGGACTCACGGTGCCAGTAGACCGGGTAGCAGTCGGCGCGGAGCACGTCCACCTCGTAGAGGCCGCCGCGCACGCAGACGGGCTCGGGCTCGGGCTCGGGGGCGGCGGCGGGCAGGGCGCGGTAGGCCCGCTCGAGGCGCAGCGAGTCGTAGCCGATGAAGGGTTTCCACTTGCGCTCCTCGCGGAAGAACCAGCGCACCTCCTCGGGGCCCAGCTCCCGCACCACCTCGCCGCCGCC